ATTATAAGATACATACCCTCACCCATCTATGTTTTTAATATGATGAGTGTTTCAATCAGTTTATTTATTCAATATCAATCTAATTTATTTAAAATGCGTGTTTCAATCAATTTGTACATTATCCTAGTTTATTTTTAAAAGATGTGTGTTTCAATCAGTTTAAATCTTATTCAAAAACCTAGGTTATTTATGATGTTCGATTCAATCAATTTTCCTTAACCCAACTTATTTATAATGTGTTTCAATCAGTATGTTTCTGAACCTAGTTTATATACGATGTGTGTTTCTTACTTTATGTGTGTTTCTGAACCTAGTTTATCATGTATGTTTATGAACCTAATTTATTCATGTGTTTCTAAACCTAGTTTATTTATGATGCGTGCTTCCTAACTTAGATTATTTATGATGTGTTTCTTAGCCTAATTTATCTATGATGTGTGTTTCTTAATCGAGTTTATTTGTGATGTGTGTTCCTTAACCTAGTTCATTTATGTTGTGTGTTTCAATCAGTTTATCTATTAACCTGGTTTATTCGGTATGATGTGTGTTTCAATCAGTTTATTTATTTTCTAGCTTATTCGTGAAGCGACTTTCAATCAGTTTTTTTATTAACCTAGTTTATTTATGTGGGTCTCACTCAGTTTGTTTATTGACCTAGTTTATGTATCATTGGTGTTTCAATCCGTTTATTTATTAACCTAGTTTATTTAAGATGGGTGTTTAAAGTTCACAGTTTATAACACTCCGCATCGAATTTCGGCGGGTGTTCAATGACGTCCTTACTCTGCAACAGTCTCAGCTCTTTGTTTTTGGCGCCGAACTTATCGCCTTCCTTAGTCGCCGATTTGGCGTAGTCTATTGTTCGTTTTAGAACCACCTGCAGCGTACCCAAAACCTGTGACAATTGCATATCAGCATTGAGTAAAGGCACTGTACGTATGTGATACAATGACGCAGTTTCTGTATGTTGTTGACGTACCAATAGTTGCATTGATATATGCACAGGTGCACCTATATGTGGTAAATGGGCTAAGAAGCTCGCCAAAATCTAATTACTTAGAATGTAGGGAAAGACACCCTGTTCAGATCCCTCTCTCAATAATAGACGGATATGCGTGCGACCTCCCAGTTCATGTGGAGGCATATCCGTATGCGTCGGGGACAATCCATACAAACACAGACACAATCGACGGGTACCTCGTCTCGTGTCACTTATCTTTGCACCAGACACTGGTACAGCCCCAGCTCACACATGTACGCGTACCTTGAGTATCGTTTCGTCAAGCTTTCCGCCGCTTTTATCGAAGTAGGCCATTAGCAAACAAGTGAACAGATCTCCCGAACCTGTGAATGAATTCTAAAGCCACAACGGTCAAATGAGTGCTCTGGGCAAGGTGAATGAGTCATTGTCCCCTACCACCACAGCAAACAGATGGCTACGACAATACAAAAAGACCGTAAACGTTCAACACTTAGCAGCCACACGGGGGGTGTTGAAAAACACGACTTAAAGCGTTGGCATGGCAACGCACGCCGGCAGCGATGGCACAGTGTCTCATAAACGTACACGCATGCAGCACAGCGTGGAGTACTCCCGGAGTACGCACTCGTATCTCTCTGAACTGAGAGATGCTCGCCAATTCGTGTCGTATGCCAAACAACAATAAGGGCCGTGCAATGGGTATCCATGTGACAGCAAGGGTAATACACTTGGTAGTTATACGACATAAAAGGTCATACACTTAGTAACTATACGACATACAAGGTCATACACTTGGTAACCATATGACATAAAAGGACATACACTTGCTAACTATAAGAAATAAAAGGTCATACACTTGGTAACTATTACACATAAAAAGTCATACACTGGGTAACTATACGACATTAAAGGTCATACACTTGGTAACTTTATGACACAAAAGGTC